TGCCTGTTTAGTTCAGCGCTGCGCTGGAACCTCCTTGTGTCCTTAGGGTGATCATCAGAGGGGCTAGACTTCTGTTTTGCTCCTTCCCACCTCCGACTCTGTTTACTGTGGCTCCACCAAATAGACAGGAATAGGTGGACTCATGGGGCTGGAGACCCAGGGTCTCACCAGCTCTGACCCCAGGATGGCTTGGGGACTTGCCTGCCCAGGCAGAAATTCCTTAAGTCACATTCTCAAGTCTTCCTCCTGGCAGACCCTCCTGGGCCCACGCTGGGGCAAGGCAGAGCACACAGTGCTTTTCAAGGACGAACATGTACTGGAGAAGCCAGCTCCTGGGGCAATGACCTTTGGATATCACAAGCTCAGGCTTGGTAACCTCCCCAAAAGCCACTCGAACTATGAGGGGTATGGTATGATGGCCGCCTATGCCTGAACAAAAGCATCCACTCCTCTCTCTCGGGCAAATACCCTGCAGCAGATCCGAGCTCAGGGCTCCTGGCTTCCCTGCCTGTATCTGTAGCCACACGTCCTGTGGCTCTACGTGCTGGACAGCAAGGCCCTGGGCCTGGGTCAGTTCAGTCCTCATGGGCTGGGCCTAGCCCACAGCTAGGACTTCTCAAGCAACCTCTGAGCAAAAATCTCTGGAATAAGGTTGTACAGTGTGCTAATCGGAAGCTTGCCTGGGTAAGAGAATGGGGTGACAGAGTTGTTTGGGGCTTAGACAACAATCACTTTTTGGGGAAGGGGGTCTCATCACTGACCTTGTTTAGAACTGCTGGGACTCCACCAAAAGTAAAAAGATAACAATCTTTCATCCATTTTAAATTTTCTGTAGATGAAGCCCCACTGGTATTGCCCAATTCTCCTGTGTCTGACCAGGATCGGCCTCGAGTTCTGCCACCAACTCAGTGACCTGCACCTGTGGGACACACAGGTCCTCCTCTCCAGGTCAGCCCAGCCATCCAGCTGGAGTACGTGGCTCACTTGAGACCTGCCCTTTGCTCCCGAGAGAATGGTGGTGGCCAGCCCTTCCCTGGGGCTCTCACCCATCCCCCTGGTGCTCGCCATCCACACCGCTCTCTCCTGCAGAGCACGGGCACAGGAGATGCTCATTCGCACCGAGGGAGCCAGGGCAAGGGCAGGAGTCCTTGTAAAACCTCCTTCCTCAATCTGTAGTCCTGAGAAAAAGAAAAAAGAGCCCAGATGTCAGAATGATCTACAAACTGGGTAATCTGCCCACAGATAACTGAGATCAGACTGTCTGCACATTTGGGAGCAGAGCATTCCACTCCTACATGATGTGCTGTGTATTTCAGTGATGGACAGAGTGCTCTGGGCACACAGCGGGCCTCGGGAGCAGAAGTAGATGACCTGGGACGGTGGCTCTGCACATCCTGTGCTGTTTAGCCATGACTTTTCCCAGAATCCACCTAGGAAAAGCAAGTTCTCCGGCTTCCCTGAGCCCTGCGTAACCTCCACCTCTTCCTGAGGGCAAGGGGACCAGAGCTGGAGAAGAATGGGGGCTAGTGGTGAGAAAATGGGGTTCCCAGCAGGAAAGCTGCTGCACTTGGACTCCACAGGCGGTGTTTGGGGACTGTCGGGCAGAGATAGGTGACACACGCCGTACTGTCACTGCTGGCCAGCTGCTTTCTCCTTGATTCCAAGGGTAAGGGAAGCTCCACCTCACAGTGACTGATGTGAGAGTGAGAAGGGTATCTTGCTCCTTATTTACAGATGCTGGAGATAAAAGCACGGCTGACCTCAGGGGAAACAGTAAAGGGAAAACCAAGATCCCAGGGCAGGTCTTTCTTACCGCCTGTTTCACAAACACTTCCTAGGTTAGCTTATGAATGCAAAAGCTTACTTGCTTCTGGTTTATTGTTTTCTTTCAGATGTCAACACTTGGCTAAGTGAAAAGTAGTGAGTTTGAAAGATCCTGTGTAGAGCATGTACAGCTAAAGGGCGTAGTGAAGATCCAGGGACAGAGGAGCTCACCACAGAAGGCACCATTCCATTTATCCCCTACGCACACACAACACAGGTGTTGGGGCACTTGTAGGGTGTTGGGCTCCCTGAGAATTGGCTCTGGGCTGTACTGCAGGGTCTAGGTCAGGAGAAAGGCTAAGTAGACGCCAGCCCACAATGCAACCCAAGGCCACAGCTACTGGATTCATTTCATGGATATCAAAGAGTCCTCTACCTGCAGATAACCCCAGGGGGTGACCAGTACTGCCCTCCCCCAGCCCCAGTGCAGGGCCTGGAGCCAGGGACAGCAGCCTTCTCAGGTCATCTTGAATCTGACTACTTTTCCTGCTCTGAAAGTGAATTCAGAGTCCTGAGGTTGTGAGGAGAAGGGCCAGAAGCTCTGGACCCTGAGCAGATCCTGGAAACATAAGCAGGAACCACGAAATCCTTTTATGCCCTTGTACCCTAAACCCACCCCACCTTGTGCTGGGGACAGTCTGATCTGCAGCTTCAATGTCTCTCAAGTCTCCCACCCCCAGTCCAGAACCAGGCTGGGCCATGTTGTCCCCTTCCAGGCTTGGAAACCTGCATCTGCTTGCTAAGTGGTCCCAGGTGGCTCCAGGTCCATTGACAGCTCACTACACACAGATTAGTGTCGGCCCTCAGCTTTCCCTCATGGATGTCAACACAAAGCCCAGTGCTTCATCATTTGGGATCACAGGGCTCTGTCTTCCCTATGGCCTCTCTGCTATTCCCCAGGCTCTACTCTTACCACCCTTCAGTTATCCTGTTGAATGTTCTCCCATCTAGACACCACTTACCTCTTAGCCATTTCTCCTTTAGCTTCTAACTCCAGAGGAGAGTTTCTAAATTGCTCACACCCACATCAAGTCACGACACCCTGAACTCCTCCTTGGGTTGCCTGCAATGAAGCAGATCATTGCTGTGACTGCTCAAATCTGTCCATTCTAAATGACTTCAAGGATCACAAAAACAAGAATTCCTCCCTGGAATCCAGTGCCCAGCCAAGCACAAAGGAGGATCAAAAATTGTCAGGATGGCAGGTGGGTGGATGGATAAGTAGATGGGTGAGTGGATGGATGGATGGGTAGATGGATGAATGAATGGTTGTTCACAGGTATTAAGGAGAATGGTAAGGATCTTGTATGTTTTGAGAGAAAGCCCCTGGCCTATCTTAAATATCTTTTTCAAAATAAGAGCTTAGGAGGGGTTTCCAGCTGGAGTCTGAGGTGGGCACTTCCTCCTGTGGGATCCTGGGAGCCAGTGAGTTACTAACCCCAGGACATCTTAACTCGGATCTCCATGGAAGTCAAAGCAGTAGGTGCAAAAAAAAAAAAAAAAAAAAAAAAAAAAAAAAAGGGGGCTGGGGATTTAGCTCAGCGGCAAAAGCGCCTGCCTGGCAAGCGCAAAGTCGTGAGTTCGGTTCCCGGTACCGGAGAAAAACCAAAAAAAAAAAAAAAAAGCAGTAGGTGCTAGTGACCCACCCTTCAACTGGTGGCTCCACCCTGCCGTTTTTCACTTGAGTGTTTCCTCTGGTGTGCAGGCCCTCATGGTTTGCTGTTGTGTAGTGAATCTTTTTTATTTTTTTTTTTTGTGCAGTGAATCTTATAATTTTATATTACCTTGGTGTTGATGTGGCGCATAAAGGCTCAGTGACCTTTGACACAGCTCTTAGTTCTTCACTTCTGTCCACCTGCAGTGTGGCTGGTCCACCATCTAACTTATACACCTGTCTTCTGGTGGCCACATGGCTTCCTGAGGACAGCCAGGCACACACTCCCTCCCAACTTGCCTCCCTACCTTGCAGTGGACTGGGCAGATGGCTTCAGTGGTCCCCGCTCAGTCCCAGTAGGATCCCAGAACTCTGCTGGGGCACCTGTAGGGGCAACACCTCTGACCCCAGTGCAAGGACTGTGACTTACAGTACTCCCCCTCTCTTTGTTCCCACTCTCTGCTGTCCCTGGGAGGCTCACCACCTCTTCTGTGGGTCCACGTGTAATAAAGGTGCTCCTTTGGCTTCTTGTGCCCACTGAGTTTCCTCCTTGGAGTCTCATCCCACAGCTGAGTTTGCCTCCTCTTAGGGCAGAGGGTAGCAATCAACTGAACTCAGGAGAGATAAGAACCATGAGCCCACTGCCACTCAGTGGCATTCCCACAAGGGTCACCTTGCCAGGTGGGAAGGGACAGAGTTTACAGCCCCAGCCCTGAGAGAGACAACATACCCAGCTGTGTGTGACAGGAGGGTCAGTGCAGAACTGCTCCTGCTCTCAGGGTCAACGCAAAGGTGCAGACCCACCGTGACCAGAGTGTCCATGGGCACAGGCTCCAGGAGTCCAGGGTCATCTACTCAACACGTCACCCTGTGTTGACACCGACCTGGTGTTTACATCCCCCACCGAGTAACCGGCTTGCTCTGAGTCCTCATTGTGTGGCCTGCTGAGGGACCCCCAACAAAAAGCAGACGTCTGTGATGCAGGAAGAAAACCTTTCATTCAAAGAATTCAGATGCATTGGTGTGAGAAAAGGGACTGCGCTCCGACTCTCATCCCTGGCCCAGATCTCCATCTCTGGGTCTCATCCCTGTTTTGAACTCTGAGCCATTGGAAAAGGCACGCAAGCTCATGACCATGAGGTCAGAAACATTTTTGTTTTCTTTCATTTCTGATCCCTCTGTGTGACCCTGCCACCTCACCATGCAATTATTTGCACAATGAGATCCTGAAAACCGCCAAATTTCAGCCAATTTGCTTGAATGTTCTTGAGGTGGTTGGCATTGTGTTAGAATCCCAGACATTCCCACGGCCCGGGTCCTATTTAAAGACTGCCTATCTATTTAAAGTTCAACATGGGGGCACTGAAACAAAAAGGAGTCCCAAAGCCAACAGGGAACATGAGATAGGGGAAGGAAAAATTCAGCTTGCTTCTAAAAAAGGCTGAAAATTATAACCATCCACAGCCTGGTGTCTCAAGCCTCAGAGTTTTTTTCCTCTCTGGTTGTTTGCAAACCAGAGAGGAATTTCGTGATGGGTTACTGAGGGATCTCATTCAGTTCCCCAAATCTCTGCCTGCTCCTTAGCTGCCATTTCAGTTTCTCAATCCAGATCAAGCAGCCGGTACATCTCGGAGCTGCGCCTGTCATTCTAGATTGCAGCTTTTCCACATCTCAGGCCAGAGACCCTGCACGGCGACCTGGCCCCTTTCAGGAACAACAGAACCCGTGAAAGCAGCAGGCGTTGGAAAGCTATTCACTGCAGGAAGCCCCGGCATCCGGTGAGAAGCAAGAAGTAGGAGGCACAGGATGCGCCTTGGGTCAGGGGTACGCTAGCGACAGCAGCCTCCGTATCAGAGCTGCTGGGGCTCCACACTCAGTGCCCCGGGGAGCACAGCTGGGAGCCGGGGTCCAAGCTCCTGCGGTTGCTGTGGTCACTGTGGGGCTTCTGGCCTCTTGCGACGGAAAATTGGAGGCAGGATGGCCGGCCCCAGGGACTTTTTCCTGCTGCTACTCCTGGGCCAGCCCTGGGCAGCGGCCGCTGCCCATACTGCAGAGGCAGCGGCGGAGGCTGTGGTATGCTCAGGGACCGCCTGCTACACTGCCCACTGGGGCAAGCTGAGCGCAGCTGAAGCCCAGGACATCTGCAGCCAGAATGGGGGCAACCTGGCCACGGTGAAGAGTGAGGAGGAGGCCCGGCTCATTCAGCGCTCCCTGGCCCAGCTCCTGAGGTCGCGGGCACCCCTGGCAGCGAGGATGGGCAAGTTCTGGGTGGGGCTCCAGCGTGAGAAGGGCAAGTGCTTGAACCCTGAGCTGCCGCTGAAGGGCTTCAGCTGGGTGGGCGGCGGGGAGGACACAGAGTACACAAACTGGCACAAAGAACTCAAGAGCTCCTGTCTCTTCCGGCGCTGCGTGGCCCTGATACTGGACTTGTCTGAGATCCCCCAGCCTGGCCGCCTCCTCAAGTGGACTGAGGGCCCCTGCGGGTCTTATGGCAACCCAGGAAGCAGCACCGAGGGCTTTGTGTGCAAATTCAGCTTCAAAGGCATGTGCCGGCCTCTGGCTCTGGGGGGCCCAGGCCAGGTAAACTACAGCACCCCTTTCAGGGCCACTGCCTCCTCACTGGATGCTGTGCCATTTGCTTCCTTGGCCAGCGTGGTCTGTGAAGCTGGGGCTGAGCAGCGGGGCTATGAACTGGTGTGCAGGGAGAAGGTGACCAACGTGTTCGACTGGGGCAACACCGGGCCCCTGTGCATCAACCCTGAGCTTGGCTGCAGCTTCAGCAACGGAGGCTGTGAGCAGGACTGCTTCGAGGGGGGCGCTGGCTCCTTCCGCTGTGGCTGCAGGCCTGGCTTCCGTCTGCGGGATGACCTGGTGTCCTGCGCCTCTAGGAACCCGTGCAGCTCTAGCCCCTGCAAGGGGGAGGCCACCTGTGTCCTTAGCCCCCAGGGGGACAGCTACACGTGCCACTGCCCCCATGGCTACCAGCTGGATGCAAGCCAGCTGGATTGCATAGATGTGGATGAGTGCCAGGATGAACCTTGTGCCCAGGAGTGTGTCAACACGGATGGGGGCTTCCTCTGCGAGTGCTGGGTGGGATACACACCTGGTGGCCCTGGAGAGGAGGCCTGTGTAGACGTGGACGAGTGTGCCTTCGACCCTGTGCCCTGCACCCAGCACTGCACTAACACCCCTGGCTCTTTCCACTGTTCCTGCCAGCCGGGCTATGTGCTGTCTGGGGAGAACGCCACCCAGTGTGAGGATGAGGACGAGTGCGCGGACCCCGTGGGCAACCCCTGCCGTGGCCCATGTTCCAACGTGCCGGGCTCCTTCCGCTGTGGCTGCCTGGAAGGCTGGATGCTGGCTCCCGACGGGCTCTCCTGTGTCCCGGACCCTGCGTCCTCAGCATCCCCGGCTGGGCTCCTGCCAGAGGATGAGCAAGCTGGAAAGTGGGGCACAGCGACTCCCACCACCATGCCCCACAGCATGACCACTTCCACCAGGGGCTCTGAGGATTTCTCCACAGGGACATTCTCCATGGGGAGGGCGTCCTTGTCCTCCGATGTCCCCACCTCCTCTGCCCACCCCAAAGTGCCAACCCCCAGCCGGAGCCCTGGCCTTGGCACGGAGCCGGGCACCCCTTTGTCCAAAGGTGCTGCTGGCCATGGCCAGCCGATGGGTGAGGACTCTGTGGCCTCTCCCAGCGAGGACAGTGAGGATGGGCAGAGTCTGCTGCTGTTCTACATCCTGGGTACAGTGGTAGCCATCTCCCTCCTGCTGGCCCTGGCTCTAGGGCTCCTGGTCTGTCGCAAGCGGAGAGCCAAGAGGGAGATAAAGGAGAAGAAGTCGCAGAATGCAGCTGACCGTTACGCCTGGGTCCCTGAGCGGGCTGAGGGCCGTGAGAATCAGTACAGGTGAGGGCCAAGGGCACAGGGCATGGCAGGGCAGGGAAGCTCTGTAAGAAGGCAGAAGCAGGAGAGGCACCTCGGTACCCAGTGGCACGGGGCTCCACAGTGTGGGGAGTGAGGGGTGGGTGGGGATCTTGGGTCAGGATGTGGACATGACAGGGCACTGTGAACACTCATGTCACCTTTTATTTCCACAGTCCAACACCTGGGTCAGACTGCTGAAGGGGAGATGGCCCAGGACACGTCCGGTCTGCTGCCATCACCCCCAGAGGGAAGAGAAGACCACACCTCCGGAAGCCTGGATGACCCAATGCCTTCCCCACAAGGCCTGTGGCTTGGGAGGTGCAGGTATTTTCTCCACGTCAGAGATATTTTCTGTGTCCCCCTGTGACCTTGGGGACTTTGTGAACACAAACGGTTCCCATGAAATCCTCCTTTCCAAATTCAGATGCAGCTGACTCTCTTTCTCCCCTGGATTTGGTGGGGCCAGGAGCCAGGTCCCAAGGGCTCCCTTTGCCCCTGTGTGCTCCTGTCCTCCAAGCGGAGAGTGGCGGCTGGTGCGTTAGCACTGCAACGTGTGGGCAGCCCTGTCCCTTGATGATCTGACTGCACAAGAAGCCCCGTGCTGCCAGAGGGAGCTTACTCAGACTGGAACCAGCTCTCTCTGTCTGTATCCGTTCTGCCTGCTCAGCCCCTTGGCGCAGCGGAAACCTTCAGAATGGCCGGAAGTAAGATCCCTGCTCCATGAAACAGGAAGTATAGACGTGCATCCTCTGGTTCTTAAGTTTCCTGTAGTCTTGGGTTTATTTGTAAGTGAGGTTGGAAAAATATTATAAAAATTGCTTGAAGGAATGGAGGGCTTGGTGTAAGCACGACATGTAAGGGCCGGCAGAGCTTGCTTCATCTGCGCAGATGGAGATGAATATGCTGGATTATGGAAAAGCCAGGGCAGCTTAGGCAGCATGGCCTGCTGTGGCTCCCACTGCTCCTGCTCAAGGCAGGCTGAGCAGAACACAAATGGATCTGTGCAGCTGTGCTTTTGAATTGTTTTATCACAGGGCAGAGGAGAGATTATACCTGCTGGGGTTCAGTCCTATGGATGCTCAGGGATCCTTCATCTCTCTTTGCCTTAGGGGTTGGGAAAGGAAGGGAGTGGGAAAGAGAGAATAAATAACACCCTTTGTAACACAGTTGCTGCTCCAGTTTACTGTACCTGAGGCCCTCAGTGTAAACTAAGTTTACAAAGATCTGGGCCTTGTCATAGCCCGGCCTGCCTGGAAAGCACCCTGAGAAGTTGACTAAACGTGATAGGACCACCCTGGGGCCCCGAAGGTCTCTCTGTGTCCCTCATTGACACTGCCACCCTGGGGCTGGGATGGACAGTGACCACCTGGACACAGCCTTCAGAGCTATGTAAATTTCCTTTGTCAATGTTGAAATGTGGAAAGTCCAAGCAGGGGAGACACAGGTTTCAGTTGGAGTTCTGGTTTTTGTGTTCTTTATTTTTTTTTTTTTTTTTTTTTTTTTTGGTACTTGGGAGTAAACCCAGGGCCTTTTCCCTGAGCTATGTCCCCAGATGTTTTTTTTGGAGACAGGGTGTCACTAAGTCACTAAGTTACTCAGCCTTGGTTTGACCTTGCCATCCTTCTGCCTCAGCCTACCTCACCCTCCCAGAATGCTAGGATCAGAGCCTGGTTTTTAACACTCTAGGGAGCAGCCAGGGGGTGTCCATTTGGCATGAACCTCCACTGGCCACAGCACCCTGAATGAGTGGTTGAAAATGGGTGTCCTTCGCCCAGGGCCATGCAACACAGTTCTCAGCAGTGCTGCATGCATCCCACAGGGCCAGGGCTGAGCACAGGGAGCTGGGTTGTTTCTCCACTGCCTGCTGGGCACAGCCTGTGATTCAGGGACAGAGCCACATGTCTCCTCGAAAGTCTGCCTGCTCCCGTCCCTGATCGCGTAGGCAAACTGTGCAGTCAGATGCTTAGCTTGCCATACCAGGTGCTACTGTGTTTGGTGTGCCGAGCTGGGAGTGGATTCTGCCCTCCTGAAGACGCTGTCTTTTCCCTTGCTAAGCACCAGCCTCTGGCAGAGCAGATTTCCACCAAACAGCCTTCCAGCTGGGGGGTGAGACAACCAGGTACTTCTATTCCAAGCCTCTTTGTCCGTAAATAGTTCTGGGAAAACTAGGAGAACAGATGAGATTTAACCAAAAAAAGTTACCAAATTCAAAATAACTCAGTTTTTAAATATATAAATACAGGAAGCGTTTTCCTATTATTCTTCTCAGCTTCTTCATTGTCTGAGTCGGGAAAACAGGAAAACCCTGCTTTCTAGCACCTGCTGAATGGTTTTACGGCCCTGCATATTTCCATCCCCTGGAACAATAGCGCAGCATGGGAATCCAGATGTGATCCCTGAAAACAGCTGTCCCTTCTCTGGCTCCAAAACACACGCTTCAGTAGGCTTCAGTCGGCGTGGTCTGTGAGGCTGGTCAGTCAAACAGGCTGGCAATCCAAATTGAATTGCTGGCAATCGTATTCAGTAAGCAAGGACCTGGTTCCTTCCAGCTCCCAAGACGTGAGACACGAGACACTCGTGGAAGGCTGGCTTAAAGCGAGGTGTGCCCTGCCCTGGCCTGGAGAAAGGTGATGGGCTTGGTCCCTTTCAGGTTGGCTGAAGGTCTTCGGGATAAATTAGACTATAGTCAAGTCTTGTTCTGTGATGCGGTGTGAGAATGTAAATGTCTGCAATTGCTTCCCGAACTGGAGATGAGAATGTACATATTTAAAAATGTGTGTATTTGAAGTGTGATTGGCTAATTCTGGGCCAGCAGTTTCTAAGCAGCACTGGTTTGCTTCCTGGGAAGAGGTTCTGCATGTGCAGGAAGGAGGGTTGATGTCACCTGGAGCTTTATTACTCATCTATACTAATAAACTCTGAAACGCATGTGTTAGGAGCTTGTTTTGACACATTGCCTGGCACCTCAAAATATATGGTGCACTTCTTTCACGATTACTAAACATCTGTTTCCCATTTCCAAGAGTTACCTTGATGGCCACATCCCTGCACCTTCACTCACTGGACGTGACTCCAGTGGGGGTTGTGCCTGCCCTCTGGTGCTGTCCTTGGGGTGGGGTCTAGAGTGACTGTGTCCATGGCAGCTGCCCTGGCCTTATAGATTCAGCACCACCATCTGGCGGCCACTCCCCACCCTCCCTCTGTTCACCACCCTTAATTCCCTGCATCTTTCATTGTATGGCAGATACAAGGGTGCAGGATTAAGCAGTGCCACAGGTGTGCTGTGGAAACACTGCTCTGTAATTATCACAGATAATTATCACCACTTTGTCAGCAGAGCTTGCTGCATTTGTTTAACTAATTGGACGGACAGCCCAGCTCACTGTTTCCTGGTTGCACAAACCTCACGTGATTCAGTCTGGGGACGGCAGATGGCAGTGATGCCAAGTGCTGCTGTGCAGACCGTGCGTGTGGTAAGGAGCAGGGCTTAGGAGTGTGAAGGTGCTGCTGCTCCACCGATGCCTGGGATACTCGAGGCAGCTGCTGTCCTCCATGGAGGGCTGGGCTTGGCTGCGACTCTCAGGGAGTGTGTGCCTCCCATGGACATCATCGGTGCCCCTCAGCGCACACACACATGTGCATACACGTACACGCTTCTGAAAGCTCACACAACTGTGCTTCTACAAGCACACACACCACACACACAGATGTGTTTCCACAAATACAGAAACACAACTAACACACACATACATGTGCATACAAACACAAAGGTGCTTCCACAAGCACGCACAGAGCCCACAAACACGCAACACACACAGACACAAATGTGCTTCCACAAACATGTATCCACAAACACAAACATGCTTCCACCAATACACAAACACACACAAACACAAATGTGCTTCCACATACATACAATGTGCACAACACACACATAAACACAAACATGCTTCCACAAATACAGAAACACATACAACACACACATAGATGCACACACAAACACAAAGGTGCTTCCACAAGCACACACAGAACCTACAAACACACAACACACAGACACAAACACGCTTCTACAAACACACAAACACACAATACACACAAAAACAAGTGTACTTCTACAAATGCACACACATAAACACATACAAACAGGCATTCAGAAGCACAAATACACATAACATTCATTTACTCATAGATCTACACAAGTCACAAACACACAGACATACCCCCAAATCCCATATACCAATATATGCAACATGTATTCACAAACATTCACGAATACACACACCCCTACACTCAAACATGCATGCCTATCACACTATTCTAACGTCTGTCTTGTACTGCAAAGCCCAAGCCTGGTTTCCTGGTTTAGGGAAAGCCCATGAACCCAAGTACTCATTCCGGGGGAACCCCTTGGCGGGGCCTGTCTGTCTCCTAGGCGGTGATTTTTCATGCCAGCAGGGTCTTCCTGTGATTCACTCTGCCAGGCCCGGTTGCCCAGCCCCATTGTTACACTGGCCAGACACACCTGTAGGCGTGCATGGCACAGGGGGTGCGGGTGCACATCACACAGGTCCCATGGCCGGTAAAGACCCTGGAGAGCACGGCTGGTCTCACCCCTGAGGCAATTCAGAGACAGGGCACAGAGCAGCACAGAAAACCAAACCCAGACAAAGGTGCCTGGGGTCAGCTTCTCGGGGGGCTGTACGTGGACACCACAGCATAAGAAATGGCTTCGTCCCTCACTGAGCCTCTCTCAGGAGGTAACGGTGATGAACGTCCACTGAGAAGCCAAGGGGACAGAGAGAAGGAAAGGCACGTCTGAGGGGCAGAGGTGCCTCCTGCTGCACAGCACAGCGTCCCTTGAGTCTTGCGGTCCCCTGGCTTACAGAGGCTGGGCCTTGGGGGCCCTCCTTGAGACTTCACCTGAGAGGCATCGGAGCAGGTCCCCAGAATAGGAAGGAGGAGGAAGAGGAATGGAAGGAAGGGAGGGAGGAGGAAGAAAAGTGAATGGATGGGAGGCAAAGACAAAGAGGACAGAAGGGAGAGACAGCGGGGGAAAGAGAACGAAAGCGAGTGCAGTGCCTGGTGTGGAGGGTTCACTGGCCCAGGTCGCTCCCAGCCTGAGCCGCTGCCCACCCTCACTTGCTCGCATGAGCCCGGCCCAGGACTCCTCCTCTGGCTTGGTTTGTCCTATGGCACTGTGCTCTCGCACTCCTGATGGTTGGGGCTGTGCCCATCCTGGTACAGAGGCTGAGGCTTTACACCGAACAATTCCCTCTGCCTCGTCTGGCTCCTTCTAGGGCCCCATCTTATGGGAGTTGCAACTTTTGTGAGATGGAAGAAAATAACTGTAACGTTTTCCTTCTTCCTCTCCCCAAAGATCCTGTCCTGGGGGGAAAGTATCACACCGGCCTGAAATCCCAAGTCTCCTACATCCCCTACCCCGGGCTGGACATATGTCTGGGCCTCACCTCGTCAGCCAGCCCCCAGCCGCACTGGGCCCTGTCACCTTTTCCAGCTGTTCCTGGTCCCCGTCTGGTTAAGTGCTAGGTGCTCCTAGCCTGTTGCCTTTGCCAGAAAGAAGCACAACTGGTTGAACTTTCCACCTTGAGTTGTATTTGACTGTGACATGTTGGTCTCTGTCACCTTAGTGCCTAACTGGGTCAGATATTTCAGATTTTTAAAACTGTCCTTCTAACATGACTTCATGTGTGTCTCTGGTCAACAAAGCCAGGTTTTGCTTGGGCTATTTTTTCCTTTTATCCAAGCAAAGTCTTTGTCTTTTAATGGAAGAACCAACCTACTCACATCCACTAAGGTTGCTAATAGATTGTAGGAGGCTCATTGTGTGCTTTCCACTGAAGATGACTGATTTCATATGGGACCAGAACTGCTGGAGCCGTGGGGTAAGTGCAGGCAGCCTGGGTCCTATGTGGAGACCCAGTGTGTCTCTGGCTTCCTTCACCCACCACCTGCAGCCTCCAGCTCCGCCTTGGCAGGAGCCTTGCCTGTGTCCTGGCCCTGTCTGGTCCTGCATGCTTACTAGGTCCTGGCTCCAGGCCTCAGGGTCCTCCCACGGAGCTCCAGAAGGAGCTGCTGGCTGGCTGGGCTTGATCTGAGTGCAGAGGAGACTGAGGGTGCTGGCTGAGCGTGGACAGTCCCTTCCACA